ACACACATACACACCAGCCAGTCACGTCCCCCAACCCCTAGCCTGACAGGGAACCACATGTGATAATGTACCCCCATTCGGTGACTGTGTGTGTGAATGTATGTGTTTGACAAAGAGAGAAGGATAAAGTGAGAAGTATATTTGTAAGAGTGAATGTGTGTGTCCTGTACTGTCTGTGTGTGTTGTTGGGTTTATCTGCATGCATACTGTAGTTTGATTTATTTGTGTATGCCACTCTGTGTGTAAGGCCAGTCTACGCAGTGGTAGTATACTAGAGTGCTGCTGTATCTGTGAATACTGTGTAGAGAGGCATGGAGACAGCTCCAGCATTGCAGTAAGATCAATAGAATAATACAGAGCCTGACTAATTCTCTCTCTATTGTGTGTGGCTTGTACAGTATAGAGCCATATGCCTCTGTATGTTTGATGTGTGTTTACCTATTTTTCACAGTGGCTATGCTTTTTGGTGGACACCTGGTACAGTGGAGGCACTGTCACTGATGTCAATACATGCATAGATACACTTACACAGCATGTGTGTAGGAGTGAAGCAGATGAGACCTGCACAGAGTGCATCTGTGCTAATCTGTATCTGTGAATGAACAGCTCCGAGTGGATCGCCCTTCACGCATTAAATCAGTCTTGCTGCTGCCCACAGGTACACAGCTCTGCACAGTTACCAAATTAACAGAAAGCAAGGCAAGGTAGTCTGTAGCAAAGCAACGCACACACACACGCAAACTCACACACAGCCTTCAGTACAACCAACAGACCTGTGCACACATATACTGTGAAAACTGTCTGAATTAGTTTTCTACCTGTATCACTGCTCATTGCTCAATCCTAATTAGTAGGCCATATGTTTGGAGTGTGAAACAAATAATCTCATTGTTATTAGAGGAGTACGCAAACATGCACGCAGGCACATGTAATGCATTCAAACACGAGAACAGATGGACAAACACACTTGCACATGCATGCGGGCATCCACACGCAAACAATAGCCACCCACACGCAGCCACATTAACGCACCTCCATTAAAACGCGCACACACACACACACACACACACACACACGCACACACCAACAGACATATACAACCCACTCTCTTGCCTCTAAGCAGTCTAGTCCAGTTACTACAAAGCTCACCAAAAGCTCTTTGCAGATCAAATAATCATGCCTTCCATCTGTTTCCATTTCTCTACATTAGCTTTGTGAAGGCGCCCTACAGACCCCGTTAAGAAGCGCAGCAGCCATGGGTAAAATAATGATTCCTCTCTCAACCCCCTACTCCTCATTATCTCCATCCAAAGCCAATTCAATGACAGGGAGTAGATATGGGCCAATTGCATGTGCGGTCCTTATGCAGTTCTGTAATGCCATCTTAATGTGATATTATGCTGGGCTTGCAATGTAATGGTCTTTCTATAGCATATGAACAGCTATTTCGATGTTTTTATGGTACGAAATATAGATCATACTATAGGCTATGTCTGAAATATGTTGCCCTGAATCCTTTTTTAATCCTTTTGATTCTGCCTTTCTCCAGTACCTTTGCAGTGCATCCTCTTCAATTTCTTTGCTCTCTAGCACATATATTAGTAGTTTGATCAACCAAGTCAAATTCAATTGATCAAACAGGCAGAAATTACATGTTCAATAAATAAGAAAGACTGAACAGACTAAATGCACAAACTGTGGGATGAAAATGAATTAGTGAAATGCATAATATCACCATCTTCCTCATACAATGAGGTGGGAAGCCGATATTCAGCCTGTGAGAGTATGTGCCATCTCGCCAATGAGCTTAGGAAGGGGGGGAATGTTTGGTCCCTGTTATGCAAGATGGAAATGAGTTTGCCACGCTTTGCTGTAGCCAAGCTATTTTGGAACGGCTCACATCGGAAAACGCTGGGCCGAGCAGGAAAATTAGGTCATTTACAAGAGCAGGGCAGTGCCTTCTTTCGGGAAGCGAGCGGCAGCGAGGGCTAAGACTAAAGAACTAAAACGTGTAGCACTATTTATTCAGGGCAGGGGGTACACAGATTTGAGTAAAATGAACAAGATGTGGGAGCTTAACACAGGCAAAGCAAAGAAGCTTTTTAACAGAGGCCTAAGAATGACCTGAATACATTGCAGCAATGGAAGGGAAGC